TGCTGAAAACTATATAAAATACGTTTTAATGATACACAGTGCATGCAAACAGGTCAACCGCATGAGTAACCAGTACAGACGGTTCGACTCATGTCTAACGAGCCTCTAACAGGCCTTCTTCAGGATGGAAAGGGTTGCTTTTCGAAGCCTGTTCTATGGTTCACAGCTGTTACAACGTTTGGAGCCTGACATGCAGTTTTCAGTATGATCATCAACAGAAACTGAAAGAAGCTGGATGCTCGAACGGAATCTGAAAGAAGTGTTCAAACAGGAAATTACGAGAAAAATGACGAAGGAAGGCTGGAACAGGAAAGTGGACGAAGTATCGGAGCGGATGGCCAGCATAATCACAGGGAATGCTAGAGACCTAGTCGGAAAAACAAAGGTAACAGCACATATTCAGAAAGAAACATGGTGGTGAATGCGGATGTGCAGGCGACCGTATGACAAAAGAAAGAGCTGTTCAGGAAATGGCAACTATCAAACATCGTGGAAGACAGCAAAATATGCCATATCAAAAAGGGATGCAGAGAAAGTCATCGCTGAAGCAGTCTGCAGCGTGCATGAGCCCAAACGAAAAACTGGCAACAAACGAGGGGAGAAAGACATCTATCGCAAAGCAAAACCCAGAGAAAAAGAACAAGAGACGTCAAAAATGTGAACCGCAGAAATGACAAATGCGGAAGGATGCTGACCAACGAAAAAAAATATTCCCAACCGATGGAGAAGGCACTGCCAAACGTAACGAGAGGAAAAACGGCCCAGAGAAATCAAGGAACAGACTCCATAACACCAGCACCTAGTCGAAAAAATCTCACCAGAGGAAGTGGAACAAGTCTTGAGCAGAATCAAATATAATAGGACTTTCGGTTCTGATGGAGTTTCAAGAAGCATGGAAAGCACTGGGGCAAGAAGGCTTGGTCTGGCTATGCGCGCTATTCAACAAAATTATGAAATGAGAAAATGCCAGATCATGGAGGCAGTGTATTTTGATGCCAATGCACAAAATGAAAGGGGACATACTCGCTCGTGAAAACTACCGGGGAATTAAACTGCTTAGTCACATCATGAAGATATACTATACGAGAGGGTGCTGGACAAAAGACTGAGGAAACAGGTAGACATCACCACTAACCAATTTGGCATTTGACCATGCAGATCAACCACAGAGGCTGTCTCTGCTTTAAGACCAGTCTTTGAAAGATAGAGAGAAGGAATGCAAGACATTCATACAGTGTTCCCAGACGTGGAGAAAGGCAAACAAGCAATATGATAGAGCATGAGAAAGAAGCTTGTGCCACAAAGATACGCCTGGCTTGCCAAAGACATCTGCGACAGAACGGCAGTGATTGCTCGAAGTACATATGGCGAAACGAAAGAGTTCCCTTTGCGGGTAGGAATCCGCCAAGGATCTGCACTGAACCCATTTCTGTTCTCTATGCCGACAGACGCGATGATTGAGAATCTGGAGCAACCAGTCTCATAATGCATGTTTTATGGAGATGGCATTGTGCTACGCAACGAAAGGAGAGCAGCTGTAGAATCGAAAACCGAGGCATAGAAAACAGCTCTTAAGAAAAACGGCCTTCGACTCAGCAAAGACAAGTCAGAATATATGGCGGGCTATTTCAGTGGGAATAGCATGTTGAATTCCGTCAAACCAGCGAAAATAGCGGGAAGTTTACTGCCTCAAACCTACGAATTCAACTACCTTAGTTCCATCCTGCAAGATAATGCGGAAATGGACAATGAAGTAAGAAATCGGTCGAAAAAAGCTTGACTAAATGTAGAGAAGCGGAGGACTGCACGGCAAGTAGATGTCCATTAGACTGAAAGGGAAAGAATAAAGAACGATAGAAGACCGGTGCTTCTGTACGGAATGAAATGTTTGGCTACCTTGACGAGACACGAGCAACAGCTGAACTCGGTAGAAATGCGAATGCTCAGATGGGTGTATGGTGTCAGCAGAAAGGACCACATCCGAAACAGCTCCATAAGAAGCACTCTAGGGGTAGCACCAATTTCAGAAAAGCTTATCGAAGGCAAGCTCTGCTGGTTTGGCCACGTGAAAAGAAAAGCCAATAAGTACGTAGGAAATGTGGTCCAAGCACTGATATTTCCGGGAAGGAAAAGTCGGGAAAGACAGAAGAAAAGCTAGTGCGATGTCATCAAGAACGACATGAAACTGCGAGGAGTCTCTGAAGATATAGCGAAGGACAAAAAAGTGTTAGAAGTTGACTCGATTACCAGACCCCTGTCAAAGGGAACACGCTAAGAAAAAGAAGTATGATCATCAACTCACGAACGAAATACTCAGTCTTCGGATAACCAAACATTTGAGCTGTTTATGTGAGGTCATAAATTTGGCTCAAGAATAACAAGTTTGCGCATCTCCCAATTTCTAATTACACTAATATTTGCAAACATCGTTTGATGTGTTAGATGAAACTCGTAGCTGAGCGTTTTCAAAGACGGTAGTTTTAAAACACATGCAAATTATACTTTATTTTGTCCGGTGCTCCGTTGTAGCCCCAGCGATCTTCGATGCGCTGAAAACGATTGATCACTTGCTCGACGGTGGTGCACCGCGGGACGTCAGAGAACGGCACTTCAGGTTTGATTTTTGCGTTGAAGAAAATGAACAAGTTGACCAGCTCTTTGTCGGTGAGGATGCCCGACTGTGCTAAACCTTTGGGTTCCACAACTAACATCAAAATATGAGTCAAACACTTACCGACATGTTCGGCAAATTCGTCCACGGCCATCAACGGAAAACGTATTTTTTGCAGCAGAGGAGCAAGAATTTTACGCTGATTTTCAGGCGTTATGTAGAAAGCTCGCTTGCGGCACTGCTAAAATCGACGAACTTAAAGAAAGCGCAAACTTGTATTTTGCAAGAGCGTTATGATTCCTCAAAAGGCATATTAGAAACCGTGAAATGACCGCTTATCTCTCCATTCAGTTGAAATCTGCCTAGGACTAAATACTGGGTGAAATAACTGTGGAGGGCATCGTTGACTTTGTCCACAGAACTGTTAAGAGCCGGAACGACAAATTTACTTGCAAAATTTAACAAAAATTTAAAATTATACAGTCTGTCAAAAAACAATGATACCTGTAATAAAATACAATAAGGCTATGCTTACTATTAAAGAGCATAACCAGAAATGAGATAAAACTTGACAGTACTGAAATCCAGGATATCAATGTTTTGGAACATCCAAAAGGGTCAGCATACCAGTAATTGTGAGGATACATTCATTTCTTGGCTGAGTCCAGATTAAGAACGAAAACTCTGCAACTGTTTTGATGTTGGTCGTTTTAAACTTTCACGTTGGTGATTTTCGTCAGCCGTCACTACGCCCATCAGCCAAGAATGACTTGAGCTTGAAGGTTACATCCATAGATATGTCGCCATTGCTGCGAATGGTTCTTGCTTTCTCCCCAAGCAGCAGTACTCGTATATTTATCTCTGAAGGATGACAACAAATGTTTCACATGTGAGACTGAAGCTCTACCGATTTGGCTAACCGGGTCCTGGGATAAATAGCAGATAAGTAAGAAAGCAAAAATTTTACGGATAAGAGAAAACTCCCGCAATCACCGGGAGAAAGAAAGTGTAGGAGAATCACGGAAACTTAAAGTGGCGATAGAGCGTAGTGTACGATTATGGTCCCGATACCTAAGAGAGCATTCTGTTCGCGACTTTTTAGTCACACTGAAAAACAGCGTAGAACACTGTATTATTAAGCACAATTCAAATTAAAGTTTACTGAATGATGCGCACTGAAGACTTCCTGGACGTAAGGTGGTAACATCTGTTCACTCATAAACAGTAGTTAGAAGGCTTTAAAATGCACAGCGAGATTATGCTCGATCCTGCTGCTTTAAAAAATTCACAGAAACGACCAGGCTAATCCAATCAGTCTAATGCCACAGGAACGCCCAAGCTGATGTACTTAGCTGACAATGTCGGTGCTCTTCCTAAATAACTTAGTTGACTTGACGCGGCTGAGAGAAATACACCTGATTGATGGCTGACCCTCCAAACTCAGAAATCAAAACTGCGATGGCTTGGACATCAGATCAGGATGCCACTCTCTCGCCAAGCGATGGGAAAGACCAGTGAGAGGCTGCGTAATAGATGGCTCGATTATGCAGCACGTATCCATCTGGCATGGTCTTCCTTGGAATCCCGACCACTGGGAGCTTGTCAGTTTGGAGAAGCATAGGGACAATTGAAAAAACATACTGGAGCAACTGACTCTGCGATCCGAAAGTAACGGTGGGACCGTGTCAACAATTCTTCTAACTAGTGACTGTAACAACGAAGCAAAATAACCAACGACCAATAACAAAAAAAGAACTCCATACAGAGTTAACAACTTGCATGCATTATTTTACTTGAGCACTCCACCGCAGAAGGGCGAGGAAAAGAGAAATTTCGCGCACGCGCAACGTGTCACGGTCCAAAACCGAGCTGAGCGTATCGATGTCAACGTCAAGGAATGATTCAG